CACCCCTGTTAAGAAGGGGGGTCGGAGCACGGTAGCTTGGCTCGCTTCTACTGTAGCGATGCGATAGCTGACTTTAGGTGTGCTTAAGGAGCTGTGGCCCCCGGCAATTTTGCAATGGGTTAAGGTTACCTCAATATATGTAGGAAATTTCATCATTGTTACATTTCCTGACGGGTCAGGTGTCTTTCAGCATGATCTAGCCCTGTGCCACATGTCAAGGTCATGGTGAGAAACTGTGCGGAGTTAAACCCTACAGAGAATCTGTGGTCAATCGCACAGCACCTTAGTGGAATGGACTGTATCACAAGACCTAATTCAGGCGTTAATTCAACTATGGTATTGGGACCCCAAGATCATCAGACTGCTCAAAATTGTTGAAATGTATCCTAAATCACATCCAAATGCTATTAAAAAACCAAGGAAGTTATTATATATTTAAATGCTGATTTGTTGAGCTTTTTTCAATTAATTTGGACCGGGGTGTACTGCCAGTCACTGTTCAGGAATCAGGACCACCTGGATGGTGGAAATTGATGGTCCCAGTATTGTTAGCAGTGCTGGTCTACTGATATTCTGAAATACACCTTGAAACGATCAGGATAATTCCGCAGTTCCTGTATCAGCAGGTGAAATTCTCCCTGCACTGGGCTTATGGGGTTCCAATTGTCCTTGAGTGATACACAATCTGTACACAATCATTCTGTACATAGAGGGGGATGGGGGGGGCGGGCAGAGCCCCAGCTGTACACACCAGCTCCTCTGTGTCAGAGTTCCCCATGAGCGCTTCGTACAAACAGTATGCGCTTATTATTAGCTTCTTCCATCATGGGAAACATTCAGAAAATTGTAGAAACAAATCCTGCGGCTTTATAAAAAGTTGTAAATACTTGGAGAAAAGCTGCCGGTCCCTTGGCGTGATGCACTAGTTCCCCTCCAGCAAATGGAAGAAAGACTCTCCGCTGCCCCGTGAATCTGCGCTCCGCATCGGCACTGCGGAGCACTCGCATCACAGTTGCCATGACACTGCGCACCCCAAGCCGGACTCCCACGCACCTCGGCGCTGGCAGGCTATCACAGAGCCCACACTGGTACTCTGTAGTAGAGCAGAGCCCAGCCGTGGCCCGCACAGGGGGTAAGGTCCTGCCTAAACACTGAGAACCAGATGGGAATTCAGCGATCAGTCATTCTGCAGATGTTCACTAGCCAGCTGTATGAAGACCATGAGTAACATTAACACCATTGCATTATTCAGTAGTATTTTGCAGTATGAATACACTTTAGCAAAACCAGAGTAGCTCTGACTGAGATTTTTTCCGTATCAGAATCATAATTCACTTTATTGGCACAACTGCATATAATAGGGATTTGATTTGGCAGCATTGGTGCTTCCTTTCACAAATAACACAGAAGAACAAGAAACATAAATTAAGAAAAAAAACATGAGTTGAAAAAAAAAAGATAAAGGAATAAAATAGTAGAGCAGTGCAAGCTGTACAATATACTAAGAATAATAATGAGGACATTAAAGGGAATATAGGTATATTGAATATTGGGATATAAAAGTATGAAAATATCTGATGTCGAATAGATGAAAAGGATGTACAAAGATGTGTGCAAAGTGAGTGGGGAAGTGACTGAGGCCGGGGGTCAGGGGGGCTTGTTGATGAGTTTAACTGCTGAAGGGAAGAAGCTGTTTTGGTAGCATGTGGTTCTGGTCTTCATAGACCCGAGTCTCTTGCTGGAGGGTAGTTTTTTGATCAGTCCATGTCCAGGGTGGGAGGGATGGGCCATAATCTTACCTGCATATATATTTAGAAGTAAGCCCCCCCGACGCGGAAACATGGTCTGTTTCCGTGGCAACTCCCTCCGTCTGCCTGTAGCTGCGTTCTCTGCCATCTGGTATGAGTAAGGGCAGTACTGCTACCTCACACCGCCAGCTCTGGAGGGGTTCGCATCCCAACCCCCGCTCTGTGCGTGTAAAGTTTACGTGTTTCCCCAAAGTTGAATCGCTCTGCTCCCGCTGGTCAGCAAGCTGGTTTCCCTGACTGCTTGTGTGGGATGTGATGGACTGGCAGCCCTGCCTTTCCGTGTATGTGTGCTGTGTTGCTCACTGGGTTAGGACCTGTTATCATAAGCTTACTGGCTCAAATCCCATGGCCGGCAAAGTGATCACCAATGGGCCCTTGAGCAAGGCCCTTAACCCAAACAGACCCTGCATTTGCAGGTTTTTGTTTCTTTGGAAAAAAGCATATGATAAATAAATAAGATACAATTGTCAAGGAAACAGCAAAAAGCGAAACTGACTATGAACCATAATCATACAAAGGACATGCACTAGAATAGTGATGCTCCCTCTGTGCACCATGAAAGGTGAGAGCTGAGCACCAAAGCTCCCGGGTCACCCTGGCGACCTTGGTGACTGGGGGCACTGGGGGCTGGAGATGCTGCCGAAAGCTTAAACGCAGTAAACAGACCATATGCACTGACAGCATAGTTATGGCGTCACTAGGTGCTCGGTGCCTAAATACAGCACCAATCCATCTGATCCCTGAAGCACAGAAAAGCTCTATAGTCACTCAGAATGTATTTTCCTTCATGCACAATAACTGCAAGACCTCCTGGTCCTGAACTCAGGCACATGCTGGGCCAGCGGGCGGGTTTACCACCACTCAAACACACATTTGCATGGGCCCCCTGAGAGTCACACACTAGAGGATGCAGGGGCCCCAAAGTGCCTCACTGCCCTGGCCAATGACACGCTGCCCTGGCCAATGACTCATCGCCCTGGCCAATGACTCACCGACCTGGCCAATGACACGCTGCCCTGGCCAATGACTCATCGCCCTGGCCAATGACTCGCAGGATCTGTCACAGTGGATGGTGCAATGAATGCAAGCAGGACAGCAGGCTGGCAGCCTGACGTAACCTAATGCAAGGGGACATGCGTGTGGCTATATTCCTGGGGCAGTCACCTCAGACCTGAGGAAGCAGAAAATGGAGCAGGAACATGCTACGTACTTGCATAGCTGTTTGTGATATTTAAAATGTTTGCACTTGGCTTAATCATGCAGTCTGTTGGGCTTTGAATTACTTCACAGTTACCAAATCCTTACAAATGCGGCGGCACAGAGCAGACCTCACACTCACTCCTCATGGTGGTGACCCCTGCTGTTTGTTATTCACACTGATCATGCAGTGAAGCGGGCATGAATGGAAATATGTCAGAGTACAGGAGAGATATGGTTCACAGACCACAAACACAAACACCTCCACAGAATCCCTGCACTATTCTCTGTCTTACAGACAGTTCTTGTGAAAAAGAAACACAGCTTCACCTGTAGGGCAGCACAGTCACCCAGTGTTTTGCACTGTTGCCTCACAACTCGGGACACGGATTTTCTCTGCCATGGCTCTATGTGTGTGAGGTTTGCACGTCCCCCCCGTGTCGTCGTGGGGTTTCCTGTAGGTACTCCGGTTTCCCCCACAGTCCAAAAACATGCTGAGGTTAATTGGTATTACCAAATTTCCCATAGGTGTGCATGTGAGTGAATGATGTGTATGAGTGTGCCTTGTGATGGGATGGAACTCCATCCTGGGCTGCTCCAGATCTCCAGCAACACTGAATAGTGAAAGCAGTAGCAGAAAATGGATGGATGGACTTCCCCGGTGTCCATACAATGGATATAAAAAGTGTACACACCCCTGTTAAAATGCCATGTTTTTGTGATGGAAAAAATGACCATAATAAATCATTTCAAAACTTCTTCCACCTATAATGTGACGTATAACCTGTACAATTCAATTGAAAAACAAGCAAATCTTTTAGGAGGAAAAAATCCATCCATCCATTTTCCAGACCGCTTATTCTTCTAGGTGTATGGTGTAAGGCGCCTCCTATAGGTATATTCAATCTTCATACCTACATTTGATCCGGACAGTCATGCAGTTTATGGAAATACTTGCGATGTTATGCAATTTTAGCGAATTGGCCCCATCTGCTGGATATGTTGGGAAATACGTCGAGCTCGGAATTACAGAGAATGACACTATTTCGTTCATAATACAGCAAATAAGACTAAATAGGCACACAGATCTCGCCACAAGCACATTTTTTTCCAGTTTCATGATACTGTGATTGTTTCCCACACTGCTGTTCCACATTCTCATCCTTCTGTCTTTCCCGAATGGTGTGAACAGGTGTGTGGTTCACAAGCCCTGCCCTGCAGTCTGACCTGTAGGGGGCGCCCTGAATGTCTGGTGCTGCCATGATCCCTCAGTTGTTGCAGGTGGGAGCCGCGGGGTCACGCTTTGAAACATACTGTGGGTTTAATGTGCTTATGGCCTGAATCAGTGTCTCGTTTAACCCCAAAGCCTTATAACGCAGCTCATGAGGAGGAGGTGAAGTCGATCGATGGCTGACATCCTCGTTTCCCCCGTCGGAACTTCCCAAAACACATTTTCGATGAGCTAAACTTCATAATCATTAGCTCAGACAATATTAAGCAAAGTTACTAGCAATTATACTTAATGTTTATTGAGTGAATAAGAAACAGGAAATGAAATGTCTGTAAAACTATTTTTTTAAATGGTACAGGGAAGAGAATCACATTTTAAGCTGCACAGGGGAATGTAACTGATCAACTGCGATCAAACATGCACCTTTCATCTGGTCTGGCTTGATACAGAAAGCACTTTGATCTGAAGGCCAGATTCATCACAACAGCTCCAGCGTATCAAAGAGGCTACTGGGTGCCAGCTGGGACGCACCCCCCCCCCCCCCCCCCCCCCCCCCCCCCCCCCCCCCCNTTAAGCTGCACAGGGGAATGTAACTGATCAACTGCGATCAAACATGCACCTTTCATCTGGTCTGGCTTGATACAGAAAGCACTTTGATCTGAAGGGCAGATTCATCACAAGGGCGCAAGCGTAACAGAGAGAGTACTGGGTAGCAGTTGGGACCCACCCCTCCTCCCCCCGTCCCCCCACCCCTCCCTCCCCAGGCACCGGCTCTGTGCTGCTGCTCTTCCTCAGCTGCTGCTTTCCTCTTCATCCCTTCATGCTGATTCCTCTTCCTGCAGTTTCTATGTCAGCCTCTGCTTTGTCTTTTTAGGGAACTGTTTATGAGAATATGGTTCTCTCTTACTGACCTGAATAACCAGTTTGCTGCCACGGCTAGTTAGTTAAATCATGCAGTCAAAATGAGTTTTAAATGGCTCTAGATCCAATATGTCTTTATTATTATTATCATAATCGTTATTATTATTATTATTATTATGAACAGGGAAAAGCTATTAACATCAGTGTCCTGAAAACGTAAAACCAGGCTGATGCTGCTCTCAGCCTGCAATGCTGCAGCAGAACCAGTAGGGGGCAGCAGAGCAGCTGCTTGCACTCAGCCTCCGGTCCTCTCATGACAAGTACTTCTCAATTTGCTGAAGAGGATGATGATCCTGCTATTAGATTGAATGAGGCCATGAGGATGTTCTTGTTGCTGATGAGCATGATGATGGTGATGATGACTGGTTGGCTTACTGCCCACTGCCGCGTCCCGACTCCTCGAGTTCCGAGCTCTGGGAGCCCCACCCACTCCAGGACAGATGCCTCCTCCCGTTCTCAGTGCCAGGGCACAGCGTAGCTTGAGAGCGCCACCTAGCCTGGCGCCCAGAATGCGGCGTGCGGCGTGAGCCCCGAGGAAGGGGCTGCTGCATCCAGGTCGGGCCCCCACCCTGCAGTCTTTAGCTGGGGTGGGGGAGGCAGGTTAATGTGACTGCTGCAATTGCATTAATCATTCAGATATATCATATCACATGCCTCTGGGCCTCTGGGCTTGAGTCTGGGCGCCGACCTTCCTGCCTCTGTTTGACATCCGCGATGACGTCATCACCAGTAGCCTGGGCGAGGCTGCACTGCTCACCCTGCTGACAGGAAACACGCCTTCGTATAAAAGCCAACACCCATAAACACACTGCAGCGTCCCTGGTCCTTTACACTGCGGGGCGACTTTGTTTTTACTCAGACAGCCTGGAGTATTAATACTGCTGAGGAACGGTCACACTCTTGCTATAAGTGTCTTTGCAGTGAAGAGCAAAGCACTACCTTCCTAGCGATTCTCTCCAGCAGCACGCGTGCGGCGGGCTTCGCGGGTCTGCCCTCTGGGTCGTAGAAGGGGCCTGCTGGGTTTTCCTGGCTGGTCAGGGGTCGGATTCTCTCCCGGGGCACCGTGGGCATGGCGGGGGACTGCAGTATAATGAGAAGCGGGGAGAGATGTGGATCATGCAGCGGCGCCAGCTGTCATTTCATGGGGACTCAAACTGCAGAGAGGTTCGCTTTCATTAGGGAATACTGAGGCTGCTCGACAGTACTGTGAAAAAAACCTTGTTTTTGGTAGCATTTTTGAAGTATGTGTCTGACAATGAAATTCATTATTTGCATCTGTGTAGCACCGTTGTATGATAACAGAAATCACAACTAGAAAACTCAACCTCAGGGTTCAAGGAGAGCGGAGCTTTGCCTACAAACCTCCCGGGAATATCGATACGGGAGATAGGAGAGACTCAAATGGAAGATTCTGGAAGAGTCTGGCACATTGCCTTGGCCTAGTTATAGCGAGCTGTTCTGAGCGTGGGAGTTGATGCCCGATGACAGAACTGCCATGGCTGAGGAGCTTCCAGCCTCTCACATCGTAGGAGACCCCGCTATCTACTCCCCTCTCACCTCGTAGGAGACCCTGCTATCTACTCCCCTCTCACCTCGTAGGAGACCCCGCTATCTACTCCCCTCTCACCTCGTAGGAGACCCCGCTATCTACGCCCCTCTCACCTCGTAGGAGACCCCGCTATCTACTCCCCTCTCACCTCGTAGGAGACCCCGCTATCTACGCCCCTCTCACCTCGTAGGAGACCCCGCTATCTACTCCCCTCTCACCTCGTAGGAGACCCCGCTATCTACGCCCCTCTCACCGCGTAGGAGACCCCGCTATCTACGCCGGCGTCCCAGGGCAGCAGATCCCGCACCAGCTCCTGGACCCAGCGGCACTCCTGGGTACACAGGTCCTGGGTGGAGAGCCCCACCGCCCAGTCCGGACTGGGGCCCAGCATGGTCAGGAAAGACACCACGTGGTGTAATCTGTCCACCAGGAACTCCGCCGTGGGTGGAGGCCTCCTGCACAGATAGAGTGGATGGGGGGGGGGGTTCTTATAATTAAGTGCATGCAGTGAGATTCCACTGCCAGGGGCCATTTCATCCCCTTTACAGGCCCGAGATGTTAGAACCAGAGTCCTTTACTGTCATTGCCCACTTGAATATACAATGAAAACTCTTTGGGTGACTCCTAATATCAGCATCAGTGAACAACAACAAAAACAAAGGAGTTACAGAAACAACAAGTAAACAATAAATAAACAATAAACAATGACACAAAACAAGGATTTATAGCAATGTTTTTCAATTAAATACCAAAACCAAGTAAATGTGGATAGAATTTACCATAAGACAATTTACATGGTGTTTGTTGTAAATTTTATTTTATATAGTTAGCTTAAAAAGAAGGTGTCAGTGGACACCATTTTATCAGTGTGCAGTTTGTTTTGTTACCTTTTCTCTCCTACGAGTACTCACATGTGACCGAGTACTCATGCATACCCAAGTACTCACATGTGACCGAGTACTCATGCATACCCAAGTACTCACATGTGACCGAGTACTCATGCATACCCAAGTACTCACATGTCCAGGGGCTGCCAGGCCGGCCACAGAGCCTTCGCCTTGATGACAGTCAGGATTTCATCACCCTGCAGGGCCAGAGTGAGAAGGAGACCTTGGCTATGACTGACTGACACAGACACACACACACACAGACAGACAGACAGACAGACACAGACAGACAGACACAGACAGACAGACAGACAGACAGACAGATAGACTTTATTAATCCTGAAGGAAATTACAGGTTTATACATTAATAGACAGCAACAAATAATATATGTGACAAAAAACATTTACAGTGCAAGAATGTCAGATAATTTGGCAGTAAATATATATACAGTATTGCACAGTGGGTTGCAGAGTGAAGGAATGAAACATCTCTCAATGTGCCTAAGCGGTTCTGGTCTGTTCAGGCCGTTATGTAAATGCCCACATGAAAAGGTTTAGCTTCATTATCCACAGGGTAAAACATGCCTGAGTAACGTGAGAATGAGAATCCCAGCACAAAATGGGGCATGTTGTCGGCATTTATCTGTACGCCCGCTTTGGTGCTTTCTGTGACCATTCCGACAATCAGAGAGCCTGTTTTAGGTCAGAGACTTCAGCCTAATCGACAAATAAAATGTCTTTGAGTCTCCTTCCCTGTTCTTCAGTGGCCTTTTTATGTTCTAACTTATCAGACTGTTTACTGGGGAGGCAGCATGCGGCGTGTGGGTGTCACCCTGGATAGCAATGCCGGCTCTCTCAGACACTCAGATACCATGTCAAGCATATTTTAATTATCCCGGTGCCCAGAAGGGGGGAGGCTCCTGTAACAGATCAAAACACACGCTCTCTGCCTAGGGGGTAGGAATGCCACTTTTACGGGGCAAATTTACAGAACCCTAGGTGCCTGAGTCTGCCAGCTATCAGGGGTCCTGCAGAGCACTCAGCCTTGTAGTCTTTGTGTTGTCATAGCTGTGTTAATTACCTCTGGAATTAACCCAATTTAATTAGGCAAATGAGCCAGGGAGTTGTGGGGGACACAGCACGGCTCGCTTGGGTCAGATGCGATTCTGTCCTCTCACACCACGCTGGAGGAGCGCCAGGCTTCCCCAGAACCAGGATCCAGGACTGGCAGAAGATCTACACCCTCCGAAAGACATGCAGAGTCTACATCTGCACAGAGGCACGCTACCTCCTCGGAAATGTACTGCAGCCCTTCCTGTGATCACACCCACCTCTGAAATTATGCAGAACAGCTTTTCTGTTGTGAACTAGAGGTGGAGGAAAGTATTGGATCTTGAGGCCTGAAGAATGCTGATCTCCCAAATGCAAATTTAATTTCACAGAAGGACCTATGGCATTGATTACTATAGAGAGGAAGTGGGACTTGAACCTCAACAATGCAGGACTGAGATAATGGTACTACCCACTGAGCAACGCTGCTGTCCTAACATAACATTACCCATTTCTTTCCCTTTTCACGTTTTTTCTCAATTGTATGAATATAGCAAACATTTGTGATTATGTCTGAATACAGTGAATATGTGTGAGTATAGTGAATATGTGAGAGTATCGTGAATATATATGATATAGTGAATATGTGTGAGTATGCTGAATATGTAGGAGTATAGTTAATGTGCAAGAGTATTATGAATATATATGAATATAGTGAATATATGTGAGTATACTGAATATGTAAGAGTGTCGTGAATACATATGATTATAGTGAATATATGTGAGTATACTGAATGTGTGTGAATGGCTGCTGGATCTTTTCACTAGACACACGCTGGGGTCACACGCTCACACATCACCTTCTCTCGGATCTCTTCCTCCATCCTGATAGGGGACCCCTGTTCTGCCAGCTGCTGGACGCCTTCGCTGGCGTAGCCCCCATACGCCCACAGCCGGTAGCTCCTCGAATGTGATGCCCCAATGATGGCCGACCAATGGCTGGAGACCTCTGTGCGGGTATGTTAAGAATGTAGCACACAATTTTAGTCAGGCTTGCCCAGGTGCAGTCTGGGAATTGTTGGATAGAGACACTCAAGCGGGAGAAGAAAACTACACCATGTTAAGGCTGGATTGGGTGATATTTTTACTATTTCTGTTTATTTCAAATTTTATCCATTAAAATGTCGTATTTTACAAAGTGATTTGGAATAGCAGCTCTATTCCTGGAGAAATGCCAAGAAAGACCCATAAATCATTTCCAAATTAATCTGGAAGGCAGAGCCAGTGGGCTTCGTCAACGCTTTCACAAAGGCTCTGTGCAGCATTGTCATCTGTCTTTCAATTAATTTTTATTGTCAGTCATGATTTTCATTAATTACTTATTTTTCATTATTACACAGAACAAAAGGCTAGGCTGTATTCTATTGCAGAGAGGACAGAAGATTTTTGAACTTATTTTCTTAGAAATATTTCACTTCAACATCAATCACTCAGGTTTTCATGTGAAGTGTTCAAAGAGTTCTAATCAATCAAAATGAGTTCTAAGCCCCCGATAGCGTGTGCTGACCCCAGAAGATGTCGAGTGGATATCACTGACACGACCTTTCAGGAGCCGAACTGGAGTTGATGCAGATTTAATTTGCACTGAATATGTTTATTATAAATATAGTAACCATGCATCTCAAGTAAATAACAAAGGGGGGCTGGATTGTTCTCTCTGGGGCCCCATTCAAAAAAAGTGACTTCAGGTCCCCCTAAAATCACATACAAATGACACCCCCCCCCCCCTAAATATTAAAAAAACAAAAGTCAGAAGATCATAGCAAACTAGATGGTTAACAGAACATGCTGCTTCCGGCATCTTCTAAATAACAAACACATTTATTTAATATTTAATGTAGTGACAGCAATGCATGAAGTGAGTGGTGGTAAAGACGGCCGCTGGTTGTAACTCACTGGGGTAATCTTTGGGGTGGAGCTCCTCTGACCAGTTCCCGTAGAAGGTCAGTCTGTACATGGCTGTCCCACAGGCGCAGCATGATGGCGTGGCCTCCTCCAGCCCCTGAAGCTGCTCTGCCGTCGCACAGAGTCATAGGGAGTCATCAGCAGCCAGAGGGAGCAGAATTCTCCACAAGGCCACCTTTACGCGGTACAGTGCGTGGTACAGTGCGTGGTACAGTGCGTGGTACAGTGCGCGGTACAGTGCGTGGTACAGTGCGCAGTACAGTGCGCGGTACAGTGCGTGGTACAGTGCGCGGTACAGTGCGCGGTACAGTGCGTGGTACAGTGCGCGGTACAGTGCGCGGTACAGTGCGCGGTACGGTGCGTTACACTCTCTGCACACGCTCATACCTTCCTCACACATCCTCCTGGTGACTAAGGCCCCATTCCGGAAAGAATTGACCCCCTTCCATAGGACATTCGCTCTGCGAAGGACAAGGTCTGGTTAGTACAACAACCAGCTACCTTCTAGCAAAGGAATCATCTAACCACTGATGTCAACTGGATGGGAAAAAAATCTGAGACAAAAGACAGTCTTTGATGAAACAAGGACAGCAGGGTGTGAATGTAGGTCAGGGATTCCCAACCCTGACCCACATGGTCCCGGGTCATCAAAAGGTTGGGAACCCCTACTGAAGGTCAGCACCCCCTTACCCTTGGGTGTCCAATGGTACCACATCCAAGAAACCCACTGGCAGGTCTCACAGAAGGTCCTAGCCCTAAATGATGACCTACTTCAGGATGACACAGCCAGTTCCAGCAGGGGGTGCCTTCCAGAGCACGTGGACCTTCGTGTGCCTCCGGGGGGGTATCTCGGTCACGGCGGTGGGGCAGCTTCTCATTAACTGAGAGTCGGCCTCATTTATCACCTGTGGATGAAGATGGATTCCAGCAGCATGAGGAGTTTCAGAGCTTCACCAACTGAAACTCTTGTTAAAAAATGAGACCTTGGGCTGGATATGATTTGAAAAGGGAGAAGACCTTTCATAAGAATGTGTTAGGAAATTTGTGAAAAATTGTGTTCTATGTCTGGAATTTTAAGTAATTAATTAGAATCGGGGCATATAATCGCACGTTGATTTACTGTAATACTGTGCAGTGAGATACAATCTGAAATTCTGCTGGGGGAACCGGCTCAGATCTTTCCAAAAGCATGTGACACAGACCTGGAGTCACCATCTGCCTAGGCTTCCAGCCCACCAAAGAGCATCAGTAAATTACAGCGTGTCTCGGTGCGGAGGCTGGCGCCGATTCTCACCACGTCTCGGAGAACCAGCCGGAACCTTCTCAAGCTGCTTCCCCATTCCCATCCAGCCCGACATGTCAGTCACTGGGCAGAATGGAGATCATTCCCCACCATGATATTGGTGAAACAGCTTTATAAAGTTCAGTAAAGTAAAAGCCGGCCGGCAACCAAAGTGCAGTGCGAATGAGTTTGTCTGCCACTAGGGGTGATAAAGATCTACAGACACGAAGATTCCAAATTTTGGCATCCAGTCAAATATCCAGTCACCCAGATATCATTGAAGCCAAATAGATGACAGATTTGCTGCGAAAAATCATTAACCACAAAAGTGTGCTCACTGGTGTGATTATCAAACTCAGAGGTCCTCACTGGCTTATAAAATTTTTAAACACAAACTGGTACTGCACTAAATTTTAAATCGTTCATCTTATTCGGAAAAACAGCCAGGGCTGGTCAACACATTTCTGAAACCTATCTGGTTAAAATAAGAAGCTACTCAGAGTTCCAGGACAGCCTGGACATCTCCAAACATCTAAATGCATAATTGGATAAACAATCCAATTTCAATTACGTCTTCGTCAGGGTAACAGGGGGTCTGGAACCTATGCCGGTAAAGTTGGTGGGCGTACAGCCTGATTGGGACACCAGTCCATCACGGGGCACCAACACAATGGGAACCTTAGAGACATGGGTAAGGCTCGCTGAATGCCTTTGGACTGCGCCTAGGGACTGGAGCATGACACGGGGAGGGCATGCAAGCTTCACACATACAGAGCAGGGAAGATTCGAACCGGCAACACTGGAGGTGTGTGGCATTAGTGCAACCCACTGATACACCCTAAATACACATGCATACAAAGTCAAAACACATGCCAATCAAGCTGGTTAATCCTGAAGCTGAAAAGCTCACAGCTTGATCATTATCTTCTTGATCTCCATATAATGCCTTATGTTTGTCTAGGAGGCTGTCATCCACCCAGGCTGGTGTACATGCAGTCACGCTACACACCCAGCTATTATGTACCACAGAAATCTATGCCTGTCAATCTAGGATTAAGCAGAGCCAGAGCACTTATACATTTAAGAGTCGCTTCTGGTAGGGATGACAGTGTTTCCTGTGGATCAGGTTTGGTGGATGTAATGGGGCGGGGGGGGGGGGACATCACCCCATTGTTATTATTGTTTAGTGATGGCATGTTCCCTCTCTGTCTATGGAGGTAAACAAACAATAATTCTATGAATTCATATAGGCAACTTATTTTTAGTGACAGCTATAACTACATTTTAGTGGTTGTTAAATTAAGTCCTCAATGCTCTGCCCATCTCCAGTGCTGCACTCAATAATGTAACAACAGCTTAACTGCACTGTGCATATCCTAACTGTACATGTGACTCAGCCTAACTGCACTGCACACAGCTTAACTGTGTATGTGACGCGGTCTAGCTTCACTGCACACAGTCTAACTGTGCATGTGACTCAGCATAACTGCACCACACACAGCCTATCTGTGCATGTGACTCAGCATAACTGCACCACACACAGCCTAACTGTATATGTGACTCAGCATAACTGCACCACACACAGCTTATCTGGGTATGTGACTCAGCCTAACAACATGAGATATGTAACACATTTTCATTCCCACTCAGTCTTCCATAGTGGTAAAATAAATGGTTTTGTGCCCTCCTAACTAATATCGGTGTAGTGAATAAAGAGTGAATAAAGAGTGAGAATTAAGGGAACAGTCCCGACGCTTTTGATGTACATGTAGCTAATCTTAGGTTTATAATGGAATAATATAGATTTGCCGTAAGATTTCTTGTGTGAGAGTCTGAAAGTGTGAGTGTCACGCCAGATGCATGGGAGTCGGGAACTCTGTGGGTGGGAATCGAGCTTCCAAAGCAAGTCACCACCAAAGCGTAGGATTGGTTGATTGGTTGGACAGAAGTGTGCTTTTTTTTGCCATGGCGGCAATGATTTTGGTGTGGCGGGCCGTCACGGTCAAATGTTACCTGCGGAAACAGTGCAAGAGCACCCTCTGTTTGGTGGGAGAACCTTATTGGTCCCCGATGCATGGCTCTGAACTTCATTCCACTATTTCCCTGAAACATGCACATTCCTAGTGAGCTTTTGTGTCACTGCGAATGGCTACAGTGAACAGCTGGAAGGTAACATGTAGATGTTGAGCTATTTCCTCTCCAAGCAGGAAGTGTGTGGGGGGGGGCATACTCTCTGTATGAGGCATGGAGGCTTGTCATGCACTCAGGAATATATCACCATTAAGAGCTGCCATCCAGCCATTCGGTACAAAGGCAGCCGTAACAGTCCTTACTAACCTAAACAGTGTGAATATATCAACCCCACACTGGCTTCCCAGCAGATTTACAGCTAAATATAAAAGATTGCACCTTCCATCTTTATGATTTAATGTGAGTGCATTAGCATAACCATAAATACAGCTCCTTGACTACTTTCTATTTCTGCAAGGCAGCAGTCATTTCATACAGAGTTCATATTTAATCTGAACTATCTGCCTAATATTGACCTAAGAGAGGACCGACCAGAGGTTAACCGTATACATTTAAAGGACAAATTAAATGTAGACTAAATATTGTGTAAAAGTGATCGATGGTTATGAAGATGGGTGGTTATAATGTAAAAGTACTGAATCAGCACTAAATCGGCTTTTATTCTTTCCCTTTTCATGTTAAGTACTTTTTGATGGCAAAGTCAGGTAGTATATATAGGATCAGAATATTTCGTATTTTAATTATTGTTTTTGTTTAAATTTTGTGCTGAGGATTATTGCAGACGTGTGTCGAATTTCATTATTACCACTGTGTTCCTTGGAGATGCCATAGCAAACTGCGCCCAATTTTTGTATTTTTAATATCTTACCTGAAAGGTACCGGCATAACCGCCCGCATTTTCGCCCTTCTTACCCTCCTTCAAAGCAAATAGAGTATAACCGCTGAAATACGCGGAGCCGGTCGCTGACAAAGTCACTGGAGATAAAAAAATAAAAATAAAAAATCAAACGTATGATTACAATGAGCGTAAAATGTAAATCTGAGACTGACGGGCTGCAAACACGGTGCCACTAAAATGCCATAATCTTACAGTTCTTCCTAATCTTATTGTTTTATAACACATTCTTGTAAGAAAGAATAAAAAAACGTAAACTCTGAAGTGCATGCATATGGTCCATATATAGTGGCTGGTAAATTTTCAACTTTTAGTTTTATAGCTCAACCCAACCAAAACACGATATAGCCTACTCGCGACACACGAAGCGGCAAACTTTGTATAAAATTACATAAAAAAGAAACCCATTATAACTCATAACCTGATGGACAGGAACAAAGAGACAAAAGGAAACGCTAAGTATCCATCAATCCGAAACATTTTATTAATTTAACTAAAATGTACATTTTCTGTATCTGCCAGAAATTTTTGAGAAATTGAGAATGTCCCATCTCAACTTAATTGTCTTTTGATGAAATAGATCAAAGTACTTATCGTCATAAGTATATGGCCGAAGAGTTGAAGCAATTCTATTACACTGGAATAAACTGATAAATAGAGATGCAGCGGGTCATACTTCTAAAGTTTATATGAAATCAAGATTACCTCTGTAGGTGCTTCCAGGTCGGTAATGATGTAGGTTTCCCTGCACTCTCAGGCGAAACCCCTTAAATCCTCCTCTAAAAGCCGGAGCTCTTAAGATTTTACCACAAAAAGCATCCTCTTCACTCAAAGCGCAAAACACGCACGCAAAATGAGAGAGAAGGTACAGGAACAGCACGTTTAACCCACTTTGGCTCATCGTGCAGTGTTATTTTATTCTCCAGGAACTTAATGCAAGAAAATCGAGAGTGAAAAACAAACTGGGAACAAAAAACGATCAGTTTCTCGGGCGTTTTTCACTTGTCATAAAAATACCGAAACCATCTCGATGAAAGCGCTCCTGAATCCATTGCACATGTAATATTCACACATCTTTCTGGACCGACACCGCTGGTATAGGCGAAGCACAGGAGGAGATCGCCAGTGTCCCTAAATGTAAGGAGTGGGGCATATTTAAACAGCCTTACGCTAGTGAATTTCACAAATTCACCAGTCAAATAGTCCGATTAATAATGCATGAAAACCGCCTCTTTGCATGGCTCCCGCCTTTGGTAATTTGTTCCGTTGGAGATGCTGACGTGAAATAGAGTTCGGGTGCTTGGAATTAATACACTTTTAAAATGTCATTTATACACAAAATCAATGAATATTAAACAAAATTATTATTGCAACTAGCAAATTAGACTCCAGGTGATCACACGTTACCCCAGAACATTCTGTCTTATCCTGCTCCGGGTTCTTCAGGATTCACAGTAACAGGTTTTCTTGCTGTGATGACTGGCTCTAATTCTGGGAGCCGTTTTCCTTTTTTAATTTTCAGCTTTTCCAAGCATTATGGTATTTTCCACTGCAAAAGGTGTCCCTATATAACATGACCAACAGAAGCCTGTTTCGGTTTAGTCATTTTGTGCTTGATTTGATTCCTGGATTTCTTTGTTTTGTTTTTTTTATTCACTTTTTTTGCAGTTTATCTTTTTCGGACATCAGACAATTTTGATTTCATATTCCCTAGCAATCGGGCAAAGTGAATTAGGCATTTTGAATTCTTCGGGATCACATCTGGCCTTTGTATGAAGCTGGAAGCACACCCAGTTGTTACAGACACCAGGGAAAAAGCCAGACAGCATATTGGGTGTCTTGCCACCATCAAAGGAGGGCAGAGCAAAGTATGATAGGGTGTAAGAAGCTCTGGGAACATGCTGGGCTAAAAAAACACAATTTCATATATGAGAGGGATAAATTTAATTTGAGAAACCAAGAATTGAGAGGGGTGTCGAATCCTTTATCATCGCTGTTAACACCCGAGCTGAACATTGCTAGCTTGGCGAGCTTCATGATGAGCTTATTACGGACAGAGCTGTGATGGGCCTTCTGGAGAGAAAGAGCCTCACCTTGGCCAAAGCAAGTGTGGACAGCAGAATGGGCCTGTCAGACAGATAGGGTCGGGAGTGCATGGTGAAGCCGAGAAAGAGGCTGAAATTACTTAGGGTATTAGGTCAAAAATCAAGGAGGAACAGCATATTCTCAAAATTAACAGAAGAGACAAAACACTGACACTGAATGAGGAGAATGATGTGGTTGATGTATAGCTCCGTGGGGTGTGTGCTCGTGTCTGGAAGGTTGTGGGTTCAAATCCCATGTCCAACAGAGGGATCAAATCACTGCTGGGGCCTTGAACTAGGTCCTTAACCCCTGCTGCTCCAGGGATGCTGATTGACTTTACTCCCCGACTCCAAAAACTTTCCTCAACTTGCATGTTTCCTTGGTAAAACCTACCTGCTAAACACACCTGGCCTCTCAGGGTAGCAGCATAGAAACAAAGACTCTCATAGAGAACCTGGAGATGAATGAATGACATGCAAATGCATTTCAGTAGAAAGGAAGCAGTAGGTGTATGTATTTATACCCTCTCCTGGGGGAGTATGCCAGTGCGCGTACGCACCCAGTGTCTCTGAGCCGTATGTGACATAGGTTTTCAAGAAGGCATGCAGCCAATAATTAGACCAGAGGAAACTAATGTTTTTTCAGTCTCCCATTTTGACCTGTCCTCCTATGTCCAGCCATGGGCCTCTTCAGGTAATAGAAAGCGCAGTAAGCCAATCAGGAGTTACCTGCCAGTCGACATCATTACTAATGGCGCTCATCTCATTGGAAGGTCAAATGTGGGAAAATTTAATCTCCACAAAAATGTTTCAGTGATGCTTGAAATATTATGGCCAGACCCATGTGACGCAAATAATGTTGACTGTCTCGTGCATGTAGCTGTGGAATGATGGTGAGCTAACATTTGCTACTTGTACTTAGGTTGAATACAGATAATATGTGCAGGGGATTGAGATCTGAGTTCGTTGGTTTGTGGTTTCTTTCCTACTCAGGCCAGTCTCAGAAGGTACTCACCACGACTGGCCATGAGCAGCCCACAAGTCATCTGAGCATAATGATCTGGCTCTTGGCAGCATCCTCAGAAAGAGAACGCATCTTGGCTTGGGTATGTCGCACATTTCTAACCATCCTCACTCACATTAGAGCTCTGTCTCAGTGACCATGGAATCTTGTGTTTCTCACCATAACTTTTCAACTTTTCAGTGTCGTTAATTTTGCATTCTTAATAATGCACCCGAGTATTATTCACGAACTTTCACATTCTTAGGGATCTTCCATCCCAAACCCTGACTAATATGAACAGGTGACTGTGCGGATAAAATGAATTTTGGGTGTGCATGTTACACTTTGGAGAGCCACGTGCAGTTTGGGTGATGGGCTTCAGCAGCATCTGGGAGAAACCAGCTTTGTGTCTCCCACCTAGCTGAGATGATTGCGCTGCCCCCAGCATCTCCAGCGTCTACGTCTCCTCCTACCCCCTCGTGGATTTTTCCTGCTGAAGCCCAAAGATGAGAAATGAAAATTTACCTCAAGTAACTGCAATCCAAAGAAATTAATTCTCTTTATTCCATGTTACTCTCCTCCACTTTTATATCTGTATGGTGATATTTACTGTTTTCAAGACACGTATAGCCTCTGAACCCCCGAATCACACCCCTGTGTGCCCCCCCCCGATATGCTATACAGACAGTCACCAGGTTATAATTGAGCTCTATTCCTCAAATGTTTCTTTATGTTGAATCTGTACGTAAAAATGAAAAATAATAATACAATACACAATAATAATAATACAACAAAAAATTAAAATACATATGTCACTGTACTGTACTGTGCCTTGAGCCGACAAGCTGCAGAGCACTAATTTTCACGAGATTCACAAAGTAGTGCATGTGTTCATTATCACAAACCATTTTATTTAAACTGAATTTTTAAGATAATAGGCTTTATGGTAGTTCGTTTGTAAGCATGGATTGTCTGTAAGTCGGACGTTCTTAACCCAGGGATTGCCTGGACGGCGGAAACGCTTCCCTAATCTGTAGCTCAGATCAGCAGGCCACCCCAGTCGTAGATGAGAACCTCATTTATCTGCTGAACAGAGCAATGAAACACCTAGAACACCTTGCACAGTGATCGCTTTGTGGCTCTGATGGAGAACTCTGCCACTGTCCGCTGATTAGCTGAAAAGTTTTTGAGGAACAATACGAAACTTACGGTCGATATATTCTGTAAATCAGTTTCCTAAGAAAAGTTGCTTCGCCAGCTGAAGACATTCAGGAGTGTGCTCAGGTTGGAAAAGGACCTATCTTAATGTGCTATTTGGCTATATACGTCGCTTCTGACAAAAACGTCCGCTAAATTAAACTAATGAAATGAATGAACATATATGTGCAATTCAAATAGTACAAAAGATGATCAATCAGAGTATGGATGGTGGACGATGGCTGGACCAAAACGTCTCTGCAATGTCTGACTCGGCTGGCAATGAACTTCTACAGAAGACGAGCCCTTTCAGTGCTGTTCCATGTAAAATTACATTCCATATGAGACGACCCATATCTTCTCTTGCTAATAATTGGCCTCATCCAGTTGAAATGAGCTTTATTTGCCACAAGCCACAGGCTACTGAACTGCAGAAATACTGAACACTTTGCACATCCCATCCTTCAACTTACAGTCATTTTAAAAACTACAGTCACTATATGACAATAAATTTGAAACTTGAAGATATTTGTGCAAATATATGTACAGGCAGATGGTAATGTAGGCCGCGCATCTCCCATCATGCCCTCCTTTTGAAACATACACACGAGCAGGTTAGGGTGAATGTTGGCGTCTGAGCGCAGGGTCAGCCGTCCATCCAGCTGTCACAACAATGCACCCGTAAGAGAGAATACGCCATTTACACCAGGCAAGCGGGTAAAACCTGACTGAGCTCAAACTACCTGCCTCACCTCCCTTTTCTCAATTGTGACACAATCATTAATGTGATTCTCATTATTCAGCTACAGTATATTACATAAAGTAATATGTAGGTTTTTGGAAAAATTACAGTACAAACATTTTGGCTGGAGGTGAGTTGGCCTACATCTTAGCTAGAGATGGATTCGGACCAAAATACAGATCAGCAGCATAGTCTACAGAGACCTTATGAACCCATGTGCTGTGTTTGATTGACATCTACAGCCTGACAACACACGTCAAACACAAAAACTTCAGTTCAGCTGAGGTTACCCCAAATCTCTGGGCCTCCTTCACTGCTACAGAAGCACACATGTAGCAGTTTAACGTATAGGGAATAAAACTTTATCCAAATAAAATTGCATTTTATTTATTTAACAGATACTTTCATCAAAGTGATGTTCGGCAGCGATTCTTAACCCATGGATCGCGACCAAAATTCTGAAAGGGTTGGAATTGTAAGCATTTTAAAACCAGCAAGTTTCTATGCTGATCAGTGATCAGATTTCCCAGCCTCAGTCCTAGAATTAACTTATATAAACAGGTCTTGGGTCTGCAAATGCTTACCGCAAAACTAGCAAACATTCAACCAATCCAAGAAGCCAAACCACAGATGCTTAATTTAAAATTCACTGGCACATCCAATCAGATTTGTGCGATAGGCATTGATTGGTGTAAATTGCAGACTGCGCAGCGTGCTTGATTGTAGTGTTAATTTAAACCTATACATGATATTGGGTCACGACTGAGCCGGCATGGTAAGGCCATTGTGGTTAAGGGTCTTGCCCCGGGGTTCAATGGCAAAATTACTCCACCCACTGCTTTTTAATTAATAAACTGCACCCTAACCAGCCTAAGACAATGACACCACCCTTGTAAACACTGAGTCCTACCTTATCCACCTCCCGGCACGGACAGCCTTATGTTCGTGGTACATTCACGCCTTTCCTGGAGTATACACCCCTCTTCCAAAATAAATCACTGCTACTGGTGGCTCCCCCCAGATGTGCAAAACTTGCCCCACACCTGCCATCGCCTTCCTGGTGCTTATGTACAGTAGGGTGGTGCGCAGCTAGAGAGCTTCTTTGGAATTAGATCAGAGGCGTCAGGCCAGGAGGCTTTGCCAATTACTGTGTCCTGATTTCACGGATAAATGCTTCTCTTAACGAGCATCACAGAGATGGTTTTGCGTCTGATAACTGCTATGGCAACCTCAAGCCAAAG